CTTTAATGTAAAAACATGACATTTTTGAGTTTTGTGTATCTCTCGATAAAATGGCCGCTGTGTTTGTGGAGGTTCAGCTCATGGGTTAAATTTTAAAGGTTCATGCTTCTATCATTGAAAAGAAGAGAACGGGATCTTTCTGTATATGCAAACAGGCTGTGTTGACATTGAATTTATGGGCATAGGTTTGCATAGGGACCAGAGGGACATGTCCCTACCAATAATTAGATGTGAATAACATGTTTATAATTTACAATACAGCGTTGTTGCAGCAGTAGAGGGGTTCTGGATGGAGAATATTGACAGACGAAAACACTTTTGTTTATATGTTTTTAAAATTTTGGTATAATTCCTGCTCTAAGTGAGTCGCTCTGTGAGCTAAAGACACGTTTTAGAGTCTCTATACTCCGGTTAACGATTAATTGATTACTAAATTTGTTGACATTTCAATAATTGAACTGTAAAGTGCTTGAGATGACATGTGTTGTGAATTTGGCGCTATATAAATAAACTGAATTGAATTGAATTGAATTGAATAATCGATTATTTCGATGAATTGTTTCAGCCCAAGATAAAAATACAAGATATGGGTAAATAGAGTAACTATACAAGAAATGTACTTAGTGTCCCTTTAATCTCATATTTTGCTTGATACAGAGAGAATATTTAAAAGATAAGAGTGGGTTTTACCGCTGCACAATTGTATATCTTCAAAAGAAAAAACAGGATAAATCCACATATAACAGACATATTTAGACTATATTTTGTTAAATAGGGACAGATTTACTTTCAGTATTAGTTGCTGGTAATTTCTAGGGATGCACGATATAATCGGCCCCAAAACTAAATATCGGACATCGGCCACCCCACCGATATTTAACCCGATATTTGATCAGCTTCTGAGTTTCTAAAGTCTAAAAAAAAAAATATTAATACTTCTTCTTCTTCCTCAAAAACTTCTTTTTTACAGACTTAAAAACTTCTAAAGACGAGGGAAAAAATATTGATCCATTAAAATATCCCAATATCTTCATATGCTGATATATTGCCATTTAAAAACACCATATCAATCTCTTTTACTAATGAAATATTGCTATATGTCATCGTTATGCTACGAAATCCCCCGAAAATTCACCAAATGTTGCCATATTTTTATATGTTGATATATTGACGCGGTATCGATCTATTTTACTAACAAAATCTCACAAGAATTTGCAAAATATCACGAGAGTTTGTAACAGAACGATGAAATTTCACCAGATTTTGAAAGTAAAATAGATCGATACCGCGTTTTTAAAAATCTATTTGATATCAGCATATGGAAATATATTTGAGTATATTATTTTTCAAAGTGTCAGAAATGGATAACAAAACTGCTATTTTCAATGACTACTTATTTTTGTCCAGCTTTAACATCGGTATCGGTTATCGGCTACATGAGTTTTAAAATATCGGCATATCGGATATCGGCCAAAATCCCAATATCGTGCATCCCTAGTAATTTCAAATGCAAACCTTTTCAAAGTCATAATTCCAGATTCATCAGAGCCGATGATGCTTCAAACATTGATGAACAGCATCTAGTGTGTGTAGCGCTTATACATTTTTACAAATGTAGCAAGAAATGCTGCTTTTCTCTTTAAACAAAATACACCCTAATTTTCATGTCAAGCATAAAAATTGAGCATGCATCATTTCGCATAGGACCAATAGTGACCAATAGTGTCCCTACCAAAGATGAAATCAAACCTACGCCCTTGATTGAAATACTAACATCTACTTGCTCTGAAAGTTCAAAGCCCGTCCCTGCAGGTGGCAGAATAATTTTACAGTCAACCAGCAGGTTATGATGACTATTAACTGATGAACAAAGGGGGGGGGGGTTCTTCTTTGTGCCCTTATTGAGCAAATATACATAAAAAAAAAAGAATGGTAAATGGCCTGTACTTATATAGCGCCTTTATTTAAGTCAGGAGACTTGACCAAAGGGCTTTACACTACATTCATTCACTCACACACTGATGGTGGCAAGCTACATTGTAGCCACAGCTGCCCTGGGGCTCACTGACAGAAGCGAGGCTGCCGTACACTGGCGCCACCGGGCCCTCTGACCACCATCAGTAGACAATGCAGGTGAAGTGTCTTGCCCAAGGACACAACAACACCGAAAGTCAGAGTCGGGGCTTGAAACGTCAACCCTTCGAATTCAGGGCAAACTCCTACATCCGACGCCACCGTCGCCCCGCAGAAAGAAAAACTGAGTCTTATTTTCTTTCACATATAATGCAGACACATCCGTTATTATATTTTCCTGTTCAGACTCTTGAGTAGGGTTGTCAAAAGTATCGATACTCAAAAAAAGTATCGATACTGAAACGTTGTATCCGGATACAATACTGGTTTTTGAAAGTGTCGATAAAGTGGCACCTAAACAGTCATTCATCTAAAGTGCAGATTAGAGGAAAATGCACTTTCTGAACACTGTGTGATTGAATATTTCTACGCACTTTTCAGTTTCAGACATTTTTTTCTGTAAGAGGTGCAGCTGCCGAGAATTATTTTTGTTTCTTAGCCGATTTGGCTAGTGTCATTTTTATGTGCGCAAAGCATAGCCAAGGAAGGAACACTTCATTTTATAAGTTTTTTATCAAGCTTGCTTAATATTGTGCACAGCATACAACCTTTATTGTATTTATTTATTGTATTTTATTTATTAATGAAAACATTTCTGTTGAATTTTGGAGTCTTTGTTTTTATCCTTGTGGTATCGAAAATGGTATCGAGTATCGAATATTTTCCTTAGTATCGGTATCGAGTTGAAAAGTTTAGTATCGTGACAACCCTACTCTTGAAGGAGTTTCAATTTCCCTGCTCCGTCCCTGCTTTGCTGTGACTCGTCTTTCTCAGCTCTCTCTTCATATCACCCTAACTCAAACAGTGGATCTGCTCAGCTGGTCTCTAAATGCAATTGATCAAATTTTCTCAACTGGAAGAAAGGGAAGAGGGGAGCCGTCCTGTCCTGCCGGGACAAATTTCATGAGATACACCATGGACTCCTGGAAGGCTGGGAGGATGGTGTGTTTTAGAATGCTGTCAGTGCAGGATGTCGGAGATGTTTGGATTTACGATACTCAGATTTTCTCCTCTGTTTGGATTTGGAGGATACCCGATGTATCTAAAATTACAGAGGATGTCGGCGACATTTAGGACACTGATCAGGCTGCCGGCAGCAGTTAAAGCGCTCACAGAGGCAGAGAATGAGGGACCGTAAGCTGAGCCGTATGCAGGGTGGGATTGAACTAGGGCTGCAACAACGAATCGATAAAATCGATAAAAATCGACTTTTAAAAGCGTTGGCAACGAATTTCATCATCGATTAGTTGTGTCGCGCGATTAATGCGTCATCCGCCGCCGCCGTCATCACTGCCACTTGACTGAAACGGGGGAAGAAAAAAAATTACGGCAGAGCGAGCCAGCGCCGCAGTTGCGCAGTGTTGCCAACTCAGCGACTTTGTCGCTATATTTAGCGACTTTTCAGACCCCTCCAGCGACTATTTTTCAAAAAAGCGACTAGCGACAAATCTGGCGACTTTTTACGGTGTCACTGGCGGCTCTTACGGGAAAGCATGTATCGTTCCTAATCCTGTCCTCCAGCGGCAGCTGCTGCCGTGGGGCGCCTCCCCCATCCCAACCCCGTTCTCCCGCAGGAGTCCCTCTCAGCGCTGCAGTCAGAGCAGCAGGATGTTACCTTCAGCGTCCAGACTGCAAATGAAGCGCGCATGCGCCAAGATTGATGGCGCAAATTGATCACAATAATTAAAATAGCCTTTATAAATAAATTAACTTGCAAATTATGAGGGCAAGGCTTTAAAAGTTTAAATCTTCTGGCAAAGATAAAGTAAAGAAGATCCTGCAATTTATGGAAGTAAAGCAGAATAAAATCCAGCAAGATCAGTAATATGTCAATTGATTATATGCCACATTCCCATGTAAATATCTGTCTTTGGAGGATGTGTTTTTTAGCACCCCTAGTTCTCTCATTTTTATTCCAAATACAATTTATAATTTGAATCACAGGGCTATTTTTATCTCTATGGTTCAGTATTTTCTCAAGTAGCAACTTTAACTGCTATACTTTCCTGTCTTAAAAGGCAGAACTCTTCTAGTCTAAAAAAACTAATTTGTTGAAATGGGGGGGCCTATTGTTTGAACCCCTTAGGGGCTTTTAAAAACAAAAATGTCTTTTTTTGCGCTTTATGAAACAAAGTAGCCTATATTTTGTGGATGTACAGCTACATTTCTCATGTAAGTTTGCGTAGTTTTAACACAAACATTTATTTTTCATATTGCACCAGTACAGTTAATGAGCAACCTGTACTTGTGTGCTTGTTTGTTCTGAATAAAATGTTTATTTTGGAATAAAGAGGTTAATATAAAAAATATTTTTTGGCCGATTCATCGATTAATCGAAAAATTTTTTTAAATAATCGTTAGTTGCAGCCCTAGATTGAACAAAGGCTGGCTGCGGTGGTTGAACTCAAAGGTGAGATGGAATAATATCTTTGATGTGCACGCTCGCTGCATCCTGTCAGGATAAACTGGGAAATATGCTTCCCCCCCCCCCCCCCCCCCCCCCCCTCTCCAATGTTGCTCCTATCTTTCCACAGAGATAAACGCAGCGCTAAAGAGAACCTGGGGACGCTTGGCAGCCATAAGAACGCTCCAAAGGCAGCGTTCTGCGGCACGCATGGCCTCGATTATTCCCCCGCATCCCAATGTATGCGATTAATGGATTGCACTGAAACTGAAATCTCGATTACAACGTAAATTGTAGTTGACAATTAAGAAATTGATTATGAATAAATTAAATTATTAAAAAATAATAAAGAAAAACATCTAAAAGACTAAAATGCACAAACTATTTCATTATTAAGCCTCCAGGGGTCACAGTCAGACGTCAGTGAATGGTGGACGCTGATCGGTGATGGAGGAGTAAATACCTGAGCCTGGGATCCGTTCACCATGAGGTAATACTGCTGGCTGAGGATGCTCTGCTGGAGTTGCTCCCATGAGATGCTCCTGTCTTCAAGCATGAGGAAAGGAGGCCCGAATCTGAGAGGAATAAAAGTCTAAATTAGTTTTTTTGTTTTTTCATTTGTATTAATTAACAAATAATCTAATGTGCATGCATTTCTAAGCATCTTTTAACCAAAAATTAGCAGGGTTTCTTTTTATTTAACAGCCTAAAAGCGTGGCTGCAAAATGACTTGGCTTTCAAACATCAAATTGAATGAATGAGTCTGATTTTTATCAGATTTAAATAAAAAATATTCCTCTAATATTCTGAGACCATGAAACCTTCAGTTTTCTAAATCTAAGGGAATCATAAGCTCTTCATAGATCATTTCATCTCCTGACCCTAAAGATCACATCACAATCTAACTATGACAAACTATTATAAACCGCAGGCAGAGATATTTCAAGTACAAAAAAGTCTACAGCTGCTTAGGAGTGATTACGCAGAAGGAGAACAGCCATGGAGCGTCTGTTTGGTTGGTTTCTGTATAAATAGGCTAGCTTTAAAAAAAAAGAAACAAAAAGAATAGTTTGGTATATCACTCGCCTTGTCTGATTCTGCCCTTTTATTCAGAAGAGAGGAAGTTAAAATTGAAGGGACTAAATAGAATGATGTCCAGTTTTCCTGTGTGCTAAATCTACTTTTAAGGCTAGGCTTAAAACTTTCCTTTTTGATAAAGCTTCTAGTTAGAGTGGCTCAGGTTATCCTGATCTATCTCTATAGTTCTGCTGCTATAGGCTTAGACTGCTGGAGGACATAGGGACCCCTTTTTCATCATTCTGCTTCATTCTATCTCTATTCTCCCACTCTGCAGAATCTGTTAGTTCAATCTCTAACGTTCTGCTCTCTCTGCTTTTTCTCATAGTAGCTTCATCTGGTCTGTTCCTGTTTGGCTGTGACTCCATCCTGGAGAGAAATATCAGCTGTGCTGCTGCCATCAACACCTTTGTTTCTAGATGTTGGAGCTTGGCCTGTTTTCCAGTGTAGTCCTGTTTCTCTGACTGTGACTAACTGGATGTGCTCTCTTCGTCCTCTGACATGGGAGCTGGCTCGGAGCTCGTCTGCCTGGCTGTGTGTTTCCTGGACGGGGCCGCCTGTGGAGCTGGTTGACAGTTGCTTTTGTATCTATGCTTCTTTTTCTATGTCTGCTTCTGTCTCCTTGAACCCCAGTGGGCCTCAGCAGATGGCCGCTCACACTGAGCCTGGTTCTGCTGGAGGTTTCTTCCTGTTCAAAGGGAGTTTTTCCTCTCCACTGTCGCTACAAGCATGCATAGTGTGAGGGATTGCTGAAGAGTCAATGAGTCGATGCAATCAGCTGGTTTTCCTTAGATAGAAAACTTTGAATCAATCTGACTGGATGATCTGGTGAACTGGAAAGTGACCTGAGATGACATGATGGGAATTGGAGCTATAGAAATACACTGAATAGAATCAGAATTAAAAAGCTCAAAGTGAAATCTTTGAAGGAGAAAAACTGTTCAGAATGTTTATTACTTTGCAAATTCTGAGAAGGACGTTTAATCAAACAATTCAGCGGCACACCTGAAAACAAGTCAAGCATAAAGGAGGTGATTGGAGAGCAGATGAGATTTCAAATGTCAGATCCTGATATTATCTGGCTTTTTCCAAACACCTGCAATCTGTTCTTGTCTAAAACACTACCCACATGTGAATACTGCATTCATGTTCACACATTCGAAAGCAATATCATTGCGCCTCAAAGGAGCAGATGGTGTGAGAAACTAGAAACAAATACATCTGGTTTTCCATCTGCTGGTAGTAGGTCACACATCATTGATCCGTGCCGAGTTGGCTATAAATTAAGCAGTAATTTGATGAAAACTGCAGCGCTTGTCTTAATTTCCTGCAATTGGTGAAGGATTGCTGCTAACACTGCTGTGAAAACACCGATTCCTCTTCTAAAAGATTCACAGACAGCAAATATACTGGACCAAAACAGAAATATTCTCAACTAACCTTCCTAATGCAAAGGTATGTTGTCATGGCAACGTCCCTGCTTCTGAAAATTTGAATTGTAAAAAAAGCGTCGAGCTGCTTGTTCTCCCTGAGCATGCGTGGGTTCTCTCCGGGTACTCCAGCTTCCTCCCACAGTCCAAAAACATGACTCTTAGGTTAATTGGCTTCTCTAAATCATCCTTAGATGAGTGTGAATGGTTGTTTGTCTCTGTGTTGCCCTGTGATAGACTGGAAACCTGTCCAGGATGGACCCAGCCTCTCGCCCATTGATGGGTGAAGGTAGGCACCACCACCCCTGAAGACCCCACTTGGGATAAATCGTGACGGGGAAAAAAAATGAAGGAAAACTTTAATTAGCGTTAAAGTTAGCTGCATTTCCATTACAAATGTGCGTTAAAACTATGTTGATATTAGGGGTGTAAATCCCTAGCCTGACGTAGTCCTACTCAATTCTAGTCAGAATGAGTCTGATGCTGCTCCATAGAGCTGTGATTATGGGGCGTGTTTCGAACGAACCAGGAAAAAAAATGCCTCTGCACTCAATTGGATAGACCTACAACCAATAAGAGCAACGGAGTGCGTGACGTATGTTAAGCGACGCATAGTTGTTGTCAACAAAAATCAAAGCGTGCAGTTGCACGCCTAGAATAAGATGAGCCTTGATCGCGTTTCTCTGTTCCTCTTTTAAAATTAATTTGCTGTCGATATCTTCTAGAACAGACCTAATAGCAGAATCTACTCACCTCAACTCTCCAGCGGCAGCCATTGTTGTTGTCAACCAAGCGCGCTTTGGTCACGTGGTTGATTACGTTACTGTTGATCATCTGTCCATCATCGTATAAAGCCCGCCCTGACAATTTGATTGGATCGCCAGAGAGTGGGCGATCATACTCGCGCTACTGTTGAGCAATGCCAGACCGAACTTCCCGACCTCAAACCTTGTGGGCGGGACTAAGTTCGGAATGGCACCCAGGCTAGTAAATCCCATCCAGCATGGCGATTCGATTCAGTATCGATTTCCTAATCCAACATTCAATTATTTTCGATACTCAAGAATACACCACGATACGATTCGATTAATCGATTAATTTTTTTTTTTTTTTTTTTTTTACACCTTACAGGCTAAACAAAGTTTCAAGTTTGAAATAAATCAATAAAAGCTGTAATATCGTTATGCATTTTTTTTAGAAACAACAGCAAATAACAGAAGTAGAAAAGTTGCATCAAAAAATACTGCACATAATCGGTGCAATGAGTGCAATGCAATACCTCGGCTCCAGACGTCCCGCCCCCTCCACAGACGCTCCGAAAACAACTCGTGAAGTTTGACCCGCTAGAAGAGCGAGGTGCGCGAGAACGCTGGGACCCTTTTTCCACCTGGATCTCCGCTCTTTTTGGCCCTCATGTCCCTCCGTCGTCGGACTAAACTCGCCCCCACTTCCTCGCCGCCTCGGCCGTATCTAGACCCACAGCGTGTAGCACAGACCATGCTTCAATAGTGAGCATAATATAAAAATGTCTGCATCAAGCTCACTGCAACACACTGCTGTAAGAGTATAACCAGGAAGCGAGGTAGGAGGGCAAAATAGGTTTAGCGCCACCGCAGCACGGGAGGAGAATTACGCCCAGGAGCAAATGGATAAAAATAGACCGGAGAAAAAAAAAACATGAATCGATTCTCTTGCGGACGTGTCGATGCATCGGATCGTCGGCTGTTGGATCGATGCATCGATACAAAACGATTATTATTTACACCTCTAGTTGATATAATGCTAATTTGAAAAAAATACAAATTTTGCAACTGCAGTATTTCCACTAGTGGATACCAGTATCAGGCGGGGCCCCGATCCAGAACTGTAATGGTGATATCGGTATCAGTGAGTACCAACCAATAGGGCACTGATACCATTTTGAGAGCCAAAAGTTTCTTCAACTATTGTCACCCATTCCAGGTAGGCAATAAAAAGTTCTGCTGGATTCACTTTGTTTTAGTCTTTTTCCTGCTTCACAAAGGAAGGCAGCAGCTTGACATGAAGCCATGATGGTGATTATTCTACATCCAAGTAGGATGCAGTTCTTCATATATACACACACATCAGTTTAAAACAGATGGTATCGGCCGATACTCCACAGCCAGGTATCAGGTATCAGGGCCAAAAAATGGCGAAAAAACACTAATTTCTACGGGTGGCTTTCCGTTCGATTTCACCCCCACATACCGCCACTGGCCCAGGCGCCTCTTCACGGTTTTCTGCTACTGTTTCTGCGGCTGGAATTAGATGTTAGCATTTTTCACAGACGTAATCCAAACTGCAGGCAGCAGGATAATAAAGTCCTTGGCTGATCTTCTACAATTCTTTTTTAAAAATCTATCTTTGTACTAAAATATTCTGTCATGATTTGTGGACATTAAGATCTAAAGAGAAGCGTCGTCTCCTGGTCTGTAATTCGGTGAAAGGGTGGAGTAAGAGTGAAAGTTGGAAGTTGGAGGGGATTTGGCTGCCATTCGGCTGGCGTGTGATTGGGAAGGGCCATTTTGATTGGCTGCTACCGTATGTGTGAACAATCAATCAATGATATAAATACTAACCAGCATTATTTAAATCATTTGTGGAATCCAGTCCAGAATAATGTAAATAATTTTCCCTCCCAGCTTACCTGACAGCTTGCTGTCCTGATCCGCTCGTATTGCACATGAGCAAAAGAACTTTGGAGGAGCTGCTCTGATTCAGGTACTCTGAGGACATTCTTCCTGACGCTGGTAACCTCTGACCCCGGGGTCCTGTTGTGGAGGAGTAAGGAGATGAAGGGAGGCTGTGGTGATACCCTGAGGAGAACAAAGGAGACGCACAACTTTATTCCATTTTTGAGAAGAGTTCAAAAAAGAAAAAAAGAAATAAAAAGATAAAGGTAAGATAAGAAATAGTTAAACAGCTACAGTAACGTACCGACATCCAGTGACGGGTTATCTAAATATAAAAAAGGTGTTTTGGCCTCTGATCTGTTAAACAGACAGTTGTGCATCTTATCAGAGTGGTTCCAAAATAACTGCGTAACTCTGAATTACACCAAGACTGTCTCCATGTGTTTCTCCCTTAAGAAAAATATAAACAATTAACTCAAAATAATTAATAATCAACATGAAATAAAGCCAGCTGTTAAAATTAAGTATCTGGGGGTAGTTTTAGTTTCAAAACTGAAATTTGATGCCCATATTAAGAAAATGACGAAGACTATAAAGACAAATATAAACTGTTTTCGAATGATTCGACCATGTGTATCAAATCAAGCTGCACAAGTATATTTACATGCAATGATTTTATCCCATATGTCTTATTGCGCCATCGTTTGGGCCCGGGCCACAAAGTCTGTTTTAAAACCTTTACTCTCACTTCACAAGCAAGCATTAAAAATATTCGATCAAAAACCGGTGAAGTGGCATCACTGCAAAATTAATAAAAAATACAACATGATGACATTTGAAACTTTTATAAATTTCTCATTTTTAAAAGCTATTTTTAAATGCCTTAATGGTCTTGCCCCTGAGGTAATCTGTAAATTTGTTTTAAAGTATGCAAATGAAGGAATCGGGAGAAGAGCTGGAACTAGTGGGCAGTGTTGTGCCTGAACGCGTTCATTGAACGAAAGTTCATGAACTCGTTCATATTTTGGGCGAACGTGAACTGAACGTACTGCATTACTGCCTGGTGAACGTTACTGTGAACTCGTTCATTCTGGTGTCTGTGAACGGCACGCTCTCTCAGTTCAACTCTGTTCAATCGGTTGCCAGATTTCTCTAGAGCCCTCCAGGCGAAACCCCGGCTAAATCACACCGTAAACAGGCCTTAATATGTAGCGGGAAAAACACCCAATCTGGTAACAGCAGCTACCAGCGTCGTAGCCTACAGCCGCGTGCGCCATCAAAACAAAATGCAGCGTTGAAGCTGCAGCAGCATGGAGGCGACCGTGGAGGCGACAAATCAGCAGTATGATCACTTAAAACAGGTTTATGACCAGGTGGTCGGTGAGGATGATGGCAACAAGTTTGCCCGCCGGCTTTCAGTAAAAAAATCTTCTTGAGCGGAGGTCTTCAACAGGGGATCCACGACCCCTAGGGGTTCTACGGAGGTACTGCATGATGGTCTGCATGGTTAGTTGATATTTTTATATTCCCCCCCTGCAATTTTTCCCCCACTAATTGAAATGTCTTTAAATACTCATTAACATGAAATCAACACACTGTAGTAAACAGATGAATGGAGACAAAAGATGTCTTTCAGTCATCAATGCACAAATTCAGCGACACACAGGAGCTCTTTCAAGCTGGGCACCGTTTCCTTCACAACAACCAGGAATCAGAATCAGAAAAACTTTAATAATCCCAGGGAGAAATTAATTTCTTTACATTACTCCATCTGTAATAGAGTGACTATAGGACACAATTTCATACAATATATATAGTTAGGGGGTCCCCGCTCCATCTCGCCATCAGTTTGGGGGTCCTTGGTCTGGAAAACATAGAAGACCCCTGTTCTTGAGGGTTTTACTATCCATGTAACTTGTTTGTTAAACCTGCCTGGTATAATTTTCCAGGATTCCTTTTTAGTATGTACTGAAATGGAATTTCAAATTGAAAAAAATATTAAAATTAAAAAAACATTTGCACCTTAAAGACTACTTTCCTGTTTTTCTTTTAATAATTACTCATAAAAAAGACCATTCAAGCAGCACATTTTTCCTGATGTTTTTGAGAATATACTGTAGGGGTGAAAGCTGCAGCTGCTACTAGTGTGAAGTGAATGGACAGCAACAAAGCATTAAAGGAACAATGGGGAAATGCTGTCCCCTCAATGCTAATGTAAACCCTGGTTGGATAAGGATTCAAAACTGGATATGAAGATGAAATCTGACGCACAGTTTCAGAGTTACAACTGATAAAATAATTGCTGTCTGTGGTTCTACAGTAGGCTATGGTGTAATTGAGCAATATATGAAAAAAAAAAGAACTATGAACTAGTTCATTTTTTGGTTTTGAATTATGAACTATGAACTGAACTAGTTCATTTTAAAATGTGTGAACTGAACTTTGAACTAGTTCACGTAGAAAGAGAACTTTCCCAACACTGCTAGTGGGAACTGCAGGATTAAAAGATGTCGGACATCTATGGGTCAGTCGGCCTTCTCAGTGAAAGCATCACATCTCTGGAACTCTTTGCCTCTGGAGCTTAAGTCACAGACTGATATTCGACTTTTCTCCACAAGATTGAAAAAATGGCTCAAAGACAATCAAGAGTGTGAGCACTAAACTGGCTTGTACTGTACATTTGTTTTTTTATGCATCTGTGTGTCGTTACTAACCTCCCTCCCCCTTAATGCTAACACCTTTTAAAAGCCTAACCAGGGACGAAGGCTGCAAATTAGCCCATGGCTACAAGCCTTATGTACTCGGACGTCGGCCACCTGTTTGGTTGCAATGTTTAATTGAACTGCCCCTGTCAAATAAACAAATAAATAAATAAAATGAAAATAAAAGCTTGGAAACGAGACCAACAGCTGATAAAAACAAAGTTCCATTTGTTATTCAGAAACGTTGTTTTTCCCAAATACCAGACGTCATTCAGACGTTGGTTTTTAGGCTGAATCTGGTCGGTCCGTCATAGTCTTGATTTATAGTCTTGATTTAGTCCAGAAATTGTTGTTGAAAACTGGGCTGCATTTGGTCGGTCTGATTTCGTCCCACTTTAGTCCAATAATAGGCGCTTGAAAAGTTCTTCAAACCCACTTTCAAAAGTTGAATTTACGGTTTTTCACTGTTCACTTTTAAAGCAAATGTAGACGTTATTTGGACGTAAATCATGTCTTCTTTTCACCGATTTCTGTTCGATGGGTTCGTTTTCTGTCCCAATAAATGCTTTTTTTTTTAAATTGATGCAGTTTTCTCAACAATAGAGCTGCAACAATTTCATTTCTGAAACCTGATACCAGGGGCAGATTTAGGAAATTTGGGGCCCCAGGGAAGACAGGCAGGGGCCCCTCTGAATGGAGAAAACACATAGAACAGCCCCATTCTCCAGATAGAGAAATGTTAATAGAATAGACATCCATTATCTGTTCTAGGTTTTGTCCCTCTCTTATTCTCCCTTTTTCTTCTCTATGTTTTGTACTCTGGCGCTCAATTTTCATGTGACGGCAAACGTTTCACTGTAGACAAGCCATGATCTGCTTATCTGTTCTCCATTTTTCATTTGGATGAAATAATAGCTGCATGAATCATGACAGCAGACAAGATAGAGGAGAGCAGGAGGCGGGGTTACCAATCTACTCGCTCTGGAGAGCAGAGTTCGCTGCTTTTAGATGTTGTCTCCAAAGTCTCCAGGAGCAGAAAAAAGTCTCTAGATTTGGCGCTAGGAGCTTTTTAGAAATCAAAGTGCTAGAGGGGTCTGAAAAGTGGCTAAATATAGCGACTAAAGCGCTAAGTTGGCAACACTGCTCTTTGCATGGTTTGTTTTCAAATGGTTTGCTGCTGTCTGTTTGGACCTTTCTGAACATGTGCAGCAAATGGACTGATCCAATATGGTGGACGCTGAAGGGGGGGGGCTGAGACACACTGTTGGAGTAATTGTATATAAATGTATCTGTTTTATCATGCATAAAGCTGTGTGCAATGTGCATGTGTTTATAACCATCTTTTCTGTAGTATGTAGATTTGCTTTTGGGGAGGTTGTGGTTGATCTACGGGCAACACTCGACCTGCTGAACTTTGGTGAACAGCTTCAACAGCTTAAATTTGGACTGAACCCTGATATTTATAGGATATTTACTGAGACTGCAAGTCTGAATTCCTCATGTTGTCTCTAGTCACTAAAGTAGTCGTAGATTTTGTAACCAGGGACCTCTGATTTAAATAAAAAGCAAGGAGAACGCTGGGACTGCAGAGTGAGGTGGAGGTTGTAAACTCTGCAGTCTCTTCCTACTCTCCTCGCAAGTGAAACTAAATTAATTGTCTCTGTGCCTTCTTTCTTTCTCTGTATGTATGTATGATGTTTTAGGTACTTAGACCTGACACACACTTAATATTATCAGCGTTCTGATGGCCAGGAACTTGGGGCCCTGGGCAACTGCCAGAGATGGGAAGTAACGAAGTACAAATACTTCGTTACTGTACTCAAGTAGATTTTTCTGATATTTTTACTTTACTACTTATTTTTATGGTGACTTTTTACTTCTACTCCTTACATTTTACACAAATATCTGTACTTTCTACTCCTTACATTTTAAAAAATTGTCTCGTTACTTTAGTTTTGAATCATTTCAATGGAGTTACCGTTATTATTTTTCACGTCATCAATACCAAATTCAATCTAATTGGATGGGAATCTACGTTGCGTTTGACGCACCACTACAAGATGAATCGACAGATTCGGCGGTATTCATTGGCGGCAAATCATTGCAGCTTGGTGGCGGTGGCGTTAGCATAGTAGCATGGACGACGAGATGATTGAAAATGAACACAACGGAGATCTAGTCCTATTGGCAGACATCCATTTAAAATGTAGGCAACGGCATGAAAAAAGTGGTTTCTACTTTTACTTTTATACTTTAAGTACATTTACAAGCCTGTACTTTGTTACTTTTACTTTAGTAAAGAAGTTTAATCAGTACTTCCACTTTTACCAGAGTATTTTTTAACACAAGTATCTGTACTTTTACTCCAGTACGGAAAGTGAGTACTTTTGCCATCTCTGGCAACTGCCTAGTATTGCCTAATGGTGACCCCCTCCCCCCCCCGGTGAAGTGTCGGTGAATTTTGACATTTTTTGGGTTAAT